TTGCTATCACAATCTAATTTCGCTGTCATATTTTCTGTGTTCTGTTAAAACACGTTCCATATTCGGGGTCTGTTTGAAAAGTAACGGGAATTTGTGTGCTATATGAGCTATGGGCATCGCCCACGGTGAGTTCTTGTTACAGGGCCAGACGCCTAGCAAATCTACAAAGAGATCCTATGGTGTTTGCGTCGCTCGATACACGAGAAGAGACGAGAGTTGTGGCAGGACAAAACGTGGCTGCTCCACCACGACAATGCACCTGTCCACAACTCTCTGAACATCCGACAGTTCTTGACCGAGAACAACATCGCCTTACTGAAACAACCTCCCTATTCACCTGATCTTACTCCGTGTGAATTTTTTCTTTTCCCCAACCTCAAGGGGATCATTAACGAGACCCGTTTTGAAGTTGTGGGGGCCATCAAGAGGGCTGTAACGACGGAGCTGGAGGACATCCAAGAATAATCCTTCCAGCAGTGCATAGAAGAGTAGAAGAGAAGGATGTAAAAGTGCATTAGACTCGGAGGGTTACTTTGAAGGGAAAAACCATGCAGTTTGTTGTTTTGTAATTGAAACAAATTGTTTGTGACACCAGTCCCGCTACTTTTCAGACAGATCTCGTATTTGAACTTCTAGGCTTGTTTGATTTTGACGCCCCCAATTCGTAACTCTCATTTTGGGATCTTTCTCTTGTTGATAGCCATACATTTTGTCTTCTTACAATTAATGGTTAGTCCATTCTTTGACTTGTCTTTACTATTTTGTCTAAGAGTTCCTGCAGTTTCTTTTCTGTGTCTGCCGTCTGCATATCTTATATTGTTAGTACCTATACGAAAAGATACACAAAGTAGGAAGATTTAGTTAGAAACAAATAAAAGAGTGCTGAACTGCTATCCTGGACAATTTCCTCACGAATGAAGTGGAGACTGAGGCAAGAGAGATACGTTTCTACAGAAGGATACTGAGAATGCTATGAACAGGAGATGTGAGCAACAACGAATTTGTAAGGAAAATTTAAACAAAAAGGACACAATTATAAAGAGATAGGTGAAATTTCTGAGATGAATAATAAGGAAAGTTGGCCTGAGAATTTAACACACACAGTGCATAATCAAGCCAAGAATGACAGAGGGAAACAATGAGTGATCTACCTAACGAACTTATATGAATGGATGGCAGAACAAATGGTGGGAAGGATATTAAATGGACAAACATTACTTAGAGCTACAAAGAATGGGGAGTTGTCAAGAGCCATCAACGCCCACGTCCTGAGGGATGCGACACTTACAAAAGTATGCAGCGGCTCTCATTAAAGATCAATTCTCCTCAATAGTATATTTTCACCAGTCGTATAGACAGTTTATATTATTCAAAGAATTCCCACTTCTTATTCTAGATTTTTCTTCTTTTTTTTTTCTCTCTCTTTGGGACTATTAATGAAAGTGGATAGAATTGCCGCCTTTTATTCCATTTTTTTTTTAGTTTTGTCAAGAGCCTGATATGTTCCAGCTTTTCACTCTTAATTTTTCTCTGTGTACAGCTGCAACAACGACACCCAAGGTGTGAAAAATATTTTTTAATAATTACTAAATCTGGTCTCTTGGCCTCTCTGAAATAATCAGTTTGTATTTGAAAATCCTAATTCTATTTCAAAGTCTAGTCTCTAGAAAACCCTCTGGTTTATACCTAAATATTTTTTTTCACTGAAATAACACCTCGGAAAGTGAAATCGCTGAGCTGAAGTAAAACTCTGATATCGTCTGTTGCGTTCGCTCTCTCACTTAAGGAAGGTGTCAATTCCGCTCTCCAATTCAAATCTCTAGTCTTGGTGGCAAACTAGTCTAAAAGAAGGAAAACAATGAATTGAAGCAGCAGGAAATCCCCCTTGTCTTGCATAAGAGGACATTATTATTATTATTATTATTATTATTATTATTATTATTATTATTATTATGTTGTCTTTTTCCGCATTATGGATGTTCTCTATCAATTCGTACGAACCCAAACAAATAGCCCTTGACAGTGCCAAGTAATGCAGACTTCTGAAGCGATGGAATATTAGGGCTAATTCTAATTAATGTTGATAATGTAGCATATAAAGTTCGATGGTATAGACCCCCAATACCCCAACGTCATCTGGATAGTGGCCTGAACGTCCCATGTTTACGCAACCTCAATCGGGAGATCGGTATTGACGTAGCCATTGGATGTAATTATCGGATTCATATCTCAGTAATATAACTTAGATAATTGCCTTCGTTTACGATCAACATCAGGTATTTTTGTGTATTATGTATTGTGTGCACGAATAAGTTGAGTAAGTACTGAAAAGTTTGCGGCCCAGCACATTCTCCTTAATCTGACCAAACGACCAAACATCAAATTTTTTTTGTGGACAAGAATTTCTAATATATACGTTGGAAGATCAAATTACGTAATCTAATAATAAAAAGAATGTATTTTACAAAACAAATATTTATGTTCAACATAATCTCAATCCTGGTCAGTTCATTTAATCCAGTCGTAAATATTCATCTCTTATTGAATTATGCCTGTTATGTATACGTGTGTCTGTATATATATATATATATATATATATATATATATATATATATATATATATATATATGTGTGTGTGTGTGTGTGTGTGTGTGTGTGTGTGTGTGTGTGTGTGTGTGTGTGTGTGTGTATTGCAATAATATTTACACTTTATACAGGGCCTAAGAGCCACCCGAGTAAGTGATAAGAGGCAGAATCTCCTGCATCTCTTCTGGATGGTCTCCTTGTTTAAGTTGGTGAATGCTGCCATCATCCTTGCATTCTGTTCGTCTTTGGTGTCACAAGGAATTTTCTTGGTCTGTTGCTCAACTGCGCCCCACACATAATAATCAAGGGACTTGCAGTCTGGGGAGTTAGGTGGCTAGATGTAAGGGATGATGTTGTCTCAGAAATTGTCTAACAGCTATGACTGGTTTCTCCTGCTTTGGTGGCATGATGCAGATTATTTTTGCCAGACATAGGCCTCCCAGCAGCCACCTTCTTAATCCAGGGCAACACTATATCCTCAAGGCACTTGATGTAGGTCTCCGTGTTGATTCTGAGTCTCAGTGGGAAGAGCATAAATTCGCCATCTCCAGTGATCACTCCAAACATCTTCGTAATCACCATTAGACTCATCCAACCCTTTTTGAATCCTCTACACTGTCCTTATATTGATACTCAAATATCCTGAAATGTTCGTATTGAAGTTTTCGGTGCGAATGCCAAGCAGTGCAGCATGCCGTTTCCAAATTTCTGGCGGAGTGTATTCCGTCATCGAGCTCTTTTTCTCACAGATGCTGTCCAACTGAACTTACTACAGTGTGCAGTCGACAAAATCAAAAAGCAAACAACGCACATGCGCGAAATTAAAAATATAAAATTGCGGCAATTTACCCATCGCACCCTATATATGTGTGTGTGTGTGTGTTATTTATATTATCATCGCAACACTGAAATTCCCATGTTTCAAAATTGAAACTTCAATTCAAATTCAATTCTAAAAATTAAACTCAAAATACAAAGTTCCGTTCCATTATTAAGCGATGCTAAGAATAACTTTTTTGAAATTGATTTACTTCATTTATAAATCTAGACAAATCTGATATTTTGAGATGTTGGGATGAAGGAAAATTCAATCTTTTTTTTTATTGTAGGGGTGTTAACTCATGTATCTAATATATTGTAGCTATCAAGTCAGTGAAGTCAAGGTGGGGGATGGGTTATCAGTCTCTTGACACAAACTTCAAGTAGAAATTTGTGGTAGTATCTATGTTCCAACACATAGTCTGGGTTTCAATAGCAATACATTTGGTATTTTTATTATTTATTTTTTATTTTTATATAAATTTCAATTATGATTTTATTAAAATAGGCATTCAAATATTATTTAGTCACATTTTTTGTACATATTCAGCACTGTTTTTTAAAAATAAAATAAATGCTAAGAAATAAGAATTATAAATCACATTTTTCTTTCCTATTATTTTTATATATATATATATATATATATATATATCACTTTAAACGTTATTTTTTAGTGGATGCTCTTATTTGAGTAGACATTTCATTTATTTATTAAACAGCATATTTATTCATTTTCGTCTCCCAGCCTGAATATTTAAGTATTCTTATCAAAGAAAAATATACGCTTTCCGCCATATTTTCTTTAATAAGATTTCTCGAATATTCAGGCCGGTAGACGAAAAATTAAAGAAAATATGCACTCTCCGGATTCTTCTTCTTTACACTTTTTTCCTGAGGATTTTGCAAGACAGAAAGGAAAATTAACCCTCACAACGCAGATTTATGTATGGATGTATATTTACATGTGCGCGTGTATATTTTAATTCATGGAAAGACCTAAAATATTTCTACATTTTTTTTCCGAAAATTCAATAAAATTTTATAATTATTTGATGTTTTAGCGTATACATTAAATGGCTCAAACACACTCACACACAAAAGCGACACAGACATAGTGATTATCTTGGCGTAGCTTAGATGTGGCACAAGGTCGAAAGTTTGGGGTACCCAGTGAGGTTCGAACTCACTACTCATTGTAACTGTTCTAGCGAGACAAGTTTGCTAACCAATACACTGCCTCGAGGTACCCCACACAACACAGGCATATGCATATACATTACATACTCGTATGCAAAGTCGCACACAGTGTGTGGCGGACAGAGAATTAGCACTCCTTTTATAATAGTGTGTGTGTGTGTTTGTGTGTGTGCGCGTGTGTGTGTGTGTTAGCAAACCCACGTTTTCTCGATTCAGCGCCTCACCGATTATCGTAGTAAGAGAAAGTTAACTCATCTAACTTAGTTTCGTTTACCCTTCTGACTTCCCACCCTCACAGTCGGACTATCTTTTTGAAATAATGGCGAACAGATGAAACTAAGCGATATGCGATACATACATGTCCCTATGTTTGATATCCAGTATGAATAACACGATATTTATGCCAAATAGATAGACTTCCTGTATGCTGAGAGTTTCAGGTTCGGTGAGCCGTTAATCTCACACCCAATGCTGTAGTGGGTGTGGGTGTTGATGAAGGTTGCAGAGTATATCACTGAAAGAGAAAAGAGGAGAAAATGAGAGTACGGGGAAGAATAAATGAAAGAATAGGGGGGAAAAAAGTGAGAAATGACAGAAAAGGAGAAATAAAATGAGAGGGGGTGAATCGCCTGTCATTTATCGTTGATGTATGAACACAGTCTTTCAATGATTCGCAAATGGATCTGTCTTCTTTAATATAACTTGTGACAGCCATACTTTCAATCAAAGGTATTTGTTTCATATGTGTCTTTTTTAAAATGTCATATACCTTCAGGACGTAGACGATTATGTCTTTCCACAGATTCCTCATTTTTATTAACTATGAATTGCCATGCCTTCTTAGGAAAAATATAGGTGGGACATTCATATATGTATTTTTTTTTTTCAAATCCAGGATGTAGGCGATCATTGCTCTCTACGGATTCATCTTTATCATCTGTGAATTTTCATACTTTGGTGGGAATATAGGGGAGTGATTTCCCGTTGAATTCATGTTTTCGAATTCAGAGTTTTCTTTCTCTTAGACTTGGAGCCAGTCAAGGCTAAAGAGTTCAATCTGTTCTGATATTTATCCATAAAAAGGCCGGAGAAGTAAGAAATGGATTCATGCCATTCCCATGGTAAATAGTGGAGAAAAAGTGAATGCAACAGGCGAAGACGGAATTTGACGTCGGCTCGTCGTTTCCGCTTTCCGTCACATTAATCGCTACATTACTCGTACATTTCCAAAGCAAACACACAGTTGCTTCAGCCACCAATCAGCCCATAGATGGTTAAAAACTAGCACATCATAAATTAATGTTTATGTGAACCTGTATACCTATATATATCAGCGGTAGGTTTTCCTTATGTTAACGTACGTAAGTGTAAATGATTCTGCATATTTTTCCCTTCTAAATGAAATATTTGCAGTAGGCGTTAAGCTCACATTTCACAAATCTCATTTATTCAGTCACTTTTCACACTTCTCTTCACCTCTCCTCCCTCTCCTTCTATACTTCTCCTTCTATTTACACACACGCATACAGATGCACACAAATACGCAAACACATATACATACATACATACATATATATATATATATATATATATATATATATATATATATATATATATATATATTATGAAAGCACTCCAACGAGTGCGGAGGATCGCCTCCTCAGTGATGTTATGACTTGGGGTCATGACAAGTTTCGGGTCTTCCAACATCATACTTGTTCGTCCAAGAGACACTACCGAAACAGTACTTATTCCGGCAGCCGATCCTGAAGCAAAAAATCCGCCAAGTACGCAACAAATGGACACATTAAGTAACTGCCACTGCTGATCTTGAAATCACAAGCGACTAATCAGTAATGACCTACGTCACTTCCTCCTCAGCCAAGACAAGACAAAAAGAGAATAGGCAGCATGCTCGTCTTTTTTCCATCTTAGGTCCAACACGCAGAAAGACCCACAATCTCAACGATTATATTAATAAATATGCATATTATCCCTCACCGCTAGCAGGACTCTGAGTTCCATGCACGGCGCAATCTTCAGCTGCTGAGTATGAACTGATCGTTACACAATTTTGAATTGTGATATATCTGGTTATCACGATATTGTCGTAGGTATATATTATGCTGGGATTACAACTTTTTTAATTTGAAAATTATATTTGGCAATTAAAATAAGTGTTATATCTATATATGTATGTAAAAATCAGTAATGACCTACGTCACTTCCTCCTCAGCCAAGACGAGACAAAAAGAGAATAGGCAAGAAAATTAAAAAATTATATATTTGAGTGGGGAAAATTTATATTTTAAATATATAATTAAAGGGAGAATACATGTTCTTATTAAAACTGGAATATATAGAGAGAGTAATTCATCTAGCCTAGAATAATCCTAAACAGAATGCACTGGACGGTCGTTTCATCCTATTTGGTGCACATCAGCCGTGGGCATTCGCTACCGAGAACGGAAGCCGGGACGTTTCGATACAATGCAAACATCATACCAACTGTAACATGGACCTCAGCGACGAGGAAGTAACTGACTAGACTCGATAGCGAGTCTAGTCAGTTTCTTCTTCGTCACCGACCGAATATATCTATCTATCTATCTATCTATCTATATATATATATATATATATATATATATATAAAGTGTAACCCGGATATAAGAGACCCGGATATAAGAGAAACCCGGATATAAGAGAGATGTTCTCTGGTCCCAAATTAGAGCCTGTGTTAATGCATATAAAATAGACCAAACCCGGATATAAGAGAAACCCGGATATAAGAGACTTCATCTCCGGTCCTGACAACTCTCTTATATCCGGGTTACACTGTATATATATATATATATATATATATATATATATATATATATATATATCACGTACACATAAATCCACCATTACGCTCGGAGATGCACATGATAATCTTCTCTATGTGCCGTGTCCCTTCAGGACGTTGACGATCATGACTCGCCACAATTTCCTGTCATTCGTCACTCTTAATAGATTTTGTCTTTTTGCTATTTCTCATAAACTTTATTCCACCATTCATTCATTCAAGCTCACTAAGTATGTTATGCGCTGTTTTCCTCTGTCCTTCAATCTGTCCTGTGAGTATCAGATTTTCCAAGCCCTTTTTCTTTATTATGTGCCCTAAAAATTTCAACTGTCTCTTCCCTATACACACACACATACACACACACACAAACTGGCTCTTCCCGATGTTAAGTATAAGTATCCTTTTTGTTTCCATTTTCTCTAAAACTTCATGTTCGAGACATTGTATTCTCAACATCATTCTGTAGAACAATATTTCTACTGTGTCAAGTCAATATTTTCATTGCTTCATCTGTGAGATTTCCCACCATACATATAGAAGAATTGATATCCCGTAAACATTCAGTGTTCTTTTCTTTGTTTCTAAAGACATTTTTCTGTTTCTTAATACTCTGCTTAGTTTTGGAATGCATCTTTAGCCATCCCAATACATCTTCGCATTTGAGGGTCGCATGTGTCCTTCACCCCGTGTCCCCAGATATTTAGATTTTTGTACTTGTTTGATTTTGGTATTTCCAATTTGTAATTTGCATGTTGGACAACAACCATGCATTTTATCTTCTTGTAATTGATGTTTATTTCTTTCTTCTCGCTTTCCTTCACTACTTTCTCTGGAAATTTTTGCAATTTGATTTCCATGTCTGATATCAACATAGTGTCATCTGTATATCTTATGTTGTTAAGATTATGGTCGCCAATAATGAATCCCGGTGCATAACATGCCCCTTACCCCTCTTTTACAATATACGTTTATTTATATATATATATATATATATATATATATATATATATATAAGCATTTCACCCCAAGCAAAGCGGGAAGCTACTAGCACGCAAGAGGATTTGGAGCGAGAGAAGATAGGAGTGATAGAGGAAAGGGTGAGGAGGATAGTGGATAGATCAAGGGACCTGGAGATGTCAATTGACATTACATTTGAATAGCTGGAGATTATAGCTATCAGGGAAACAGGAAAAGGGAAGGGAGTTCCACAGGCGAGAGGTGCGAGATATGAAGCTGTTTGGAATAGACGAGGCGGCTACATTTAACAGTTTCAGCGGTGAAAGGGTGAGATGTCAGCCTCGTAGGACGCTTGAATTCACGAAGTCTGGGAACCAATGAAAGCAGCTCATCGGAGCAATTACCATGAAAGTATTTGTAAAAAAGACAGAGAGAGGCGACGGCACGTCTGTGAGAGAGCGACTGCAGACGAGATGCCAGATCAGGGCCAATTACATTGCATATCCATCTCTGAATCTTATCCAGAACCCCGAGACAAACAGAAGGGGCTCCAGACCATATATGACAACAATGCTCCATGCAAGGGCGAATGGTTGATTTGTAGATTTGAAGGATCGATTCCAGGGAGAAAAATATCCTGGCGCGGCACAGGGAGCCAACATTCTTTGCGGTGGATGAAGCAATTGATTCAATGTATTTGTTTCATCTCAGTTCAGCAGTCAATGTGAGACCGAGCAGCCGCAAAGAAGTGCTCTCGAGAAGTTGAGCGTCAGATATTCTAATTTGGAGTGGAGGCAGTGAAGGATTTCTATGGTGATTAATAGGGAGCAGTTTTGTTTTGAGGCCAATTCCTGTCCCAGTACACAACCGATTGGAGATTTGTTTTTGAGGCAGGAGTAAATAGTAGTGTCGTCCGCGTAGATGCATACTTGAGAATCTATGACATCAGGAAGATCGTTGATGAAGATAAGGAACAGAGTAGGGCCTAGGATAGAGCCTTGGGGAACACCTGCGTTCGTGGGATACGAGCTGGAGGAGAATCCGTTGAGAACGCCCTTCAATTCACGGTTTGACAGGAATGATTGTATTAAGTCGAACAATCGACCTGTAATTCCCTAACCCTGGAGCTTGCGAAAAAGGCCGGCATGCCAAACTCTATCAAACGCTTTAGAGATGTCTAGAGCCACAGTATCAGCTTCTCCGTTATTTTGAAGAGCTTGGTAGACAATTTCAGTGATGGCCGTAAGCACATCAGCTGTAGATCGGGCAAAGCGGAAACCATATTGCTTGTCTAAGAGCAGATCATGGGATGTAAGGTGGTTAACCACTTTGGATTAAAGCTTCGAAGACTTTGCCAAAGTCGGGTAGGAGACTGATAGGATGGTAATTAGAGGAATCAGAGGTGTCACCAGAGTTCTTAAAGACAGGAACAATCGATGAGGACTCAGATTCTTTGAGGCAGTAGCTATATAATTTGGAGAGGGCGGGCGCCAGTTCAGGCGTACATTTCTTCAAGACAATGGCTGGTATCCCATCTCCACCACTAGCCTTGTGGGGGTCTAAATTAGAGATAATGCCCAATACCAATGACGGGGT